TTTGCTTTTAGACCGCTTTTAGACTGCTTTTAGATTTAGATTTAGATTTAGATTTAGATTTAAGTTTAGCACAGGCGAGGAACGGGCCCCTGGTCTGTCTGAGACGAGTCAGCCTGGACTCGACGAGGCGATCTCCGTCGGTCGAGATGAAGAGAGGCGAATCCAGCGGCAGTCGCGAACTGGAGGGTGGAGGGCGAGGAGGTAGGTGAAGCTCTTCCAGTGTTTGGGGATATGCGAGTTTTCGATCAAGGGTGTTTTCAGGATTTTGATTAGTTCTTCCCTTAGTGGCCAGAAAACTTCAGCTTTTTCAAAGTGTACTTGCTAGGGAATGTGGCCATGCAGCACGATGATGAACGTACTTACCACGAGTCCGTTGCCATATCCTAAACGAAAATTTTCCCTCTTTGGGACGAGTTTTAAAAGTCTCTTATGAAAATGAAGGTCACGAAAATGGGACCAAGACAGCAATCGTTTAGAATGGTTTTCAAGAATGGTCTCTTTGGAATAATGGCACGAATTCAGACGGCAATAACTATTTTATTAAGGTCAGCCGTGCTACTGCATCAGGTACGTCGTGAGAGAATACGAATTCGTAATGCCACAGATGAGAGATCAACGTTGCCAATGGGATTAACACCATCACAGGGAGACGCAATTCATGCCTATCTCCATCACGTAGGAACGGTGGGAAATACATGAATAGATTCCGGAAACAGTGTTCCGAAGGGATTCTTAAATCTTAAGGTCGGAACTTGAGGGAGCCCCTGAGTATCTGATTCATCCTGGACAGAGGTTGCACCAGGCATTCTCCAGGATCATCGCGTCTCAAGGTCATCTTCTCCCCGGGCGCCAGCTCCCGACCCCAGCCGCAGAAACCCGCCCTGCGCGATTGCCAAGTGTGAATGTCGCATCCTGAGACGATGCAAGCGGAGAGGGAGGCACATGGGGACTCACGTGGCGCGGTGCTCGAGGGTGTGAACGACGACTCGGTCGATGATTATCCTCGGCTGGGAGAGAACCCGTCTAGTCTTAGGGTTCTTAAACGCTCCTCCGCGTTCCCATTCCATGAGAATCTCCTCGATCTCCCCGATCTCCGGCGAAGAAACCAGGAAGCTGAGTCTCTCACCGGGCTCGAGGAGCAACTCCCTGTCAAAAGTAATCGACTTCAATTTTTGTGCTATTATTCGTAGAACTTCTTTTAAACAGGGAAATTCAAATGTCTGGAAGCATATCATGGAGTTCACAGCCGGAATTCCTAAGCAACGAGAGCTGATTAAGTAAATTCAAATAAAAATAAAATGATCGCAAATTTGCCATTGAACGTGGATATTGGAAGTCAGAAATGACGAGCACCACGAACATGGGTATCAGTTGAAAAATGCTCGATTCTCGAAACCGATCTTGTGATACGAAGAATAGTTTTTCTCTGTGAAAAAGCAAGGCTATCTTCGCGAGAACTTCGGCACTGGACTATTCATGGTCGACCAGATAACAGGTGTCAGGGAATGCTTTCTTTTTTTTTTGTTCCCTCCTACGCTTAAGCTGTCAAGGCCTGGGGCCCGTTCCTCGCCTATGCTAAACTTAAATCTAAATCTAAATCTAAAAGCCGTCTAAAAGCAAAAAGTCTATTCTTCGTGCTGACCATTTAGACTAAGATTTAGCCTAAGATTTAGATTTAGATTTAGATTTAAGTTTAGCACAGGCGAGGAACAGGCCCCTGGTTTTGCTCTCTCCATCTTTCGCTGCCTCCGAAGACCACCATTCTCGTCTCATACAGCCGGAGTGAAGGAAATACAGGAAATACCCCATCTTCAAGTGGGATGAACTGAGCGGAAGACGGAACGACTTTTAAGGTCATAAAGTCCTCTAACGCAGGATTCCCGCAGGGCGAGTAATCGCATCAGTGAGACACGCTTCTCCTTCACGGGAAAGGCTGTAACCCCTCATCAATCCTCCGCCCCCCCTCTCGGTCCCCGCGCGACCTCCCCCAAGGTCAGCCTGAATGAAAGCTTTCCTCAGCCTCGCCCATCCTTGATAATGCATTGCTCACGCCCTACGGGATCGACGCAGAAGGCGCCAGGGGAAACACGGGGGAACAGCAATCTCATTCCCCCCATCAGCCCCTTTATACTCAGCGGCCGAAAATCTGTCACTTGCAAGGCTGGCTCGCCCGCTTCAAGGATTTCCTGCTTAATAACTCCTTTCGGTCCGGGCGGGGCCCAGGAGTCCCGCATTTTCTTCGCATATGTTACAGGGTTACAAGGGAACACACGGCCTCGAGGCCATGGCAGGGTTCCGAGTCCCAGTTTATAATAGTTCCACTCATGTCAAGTTGACAGCAGTCCTCACTAATCCGAAGCTGCTGCATTTCCTCCGGCACTTCAAAAATGGTGTCATCTTTTGCATTTCCGTCAGCTAATACATTTCTTTTTCAGCCAATTTTTTCTGTTTTTGCAAGCTAGATCATGGAAAGTAGCACAGGAAAGCTGGGAAACATACGACGTGAAATAGGGATCTGAGTACTAGCTGAACTAATTAAGCATCATAATGTTATTAATTTACTAATGTTTTAAAAATAATTGAAATATTTATTTTACTCAAGGAAACCATTTTAAAAGCACTTGTATTTTATATGAGCCTTGTTGAAGCCCAAAAAGTATATGATATTTTTTCAAGGCCTAGAAAGGCCATGACCGAAAATGTTCCTTGAACGCGAAATGAAATTCGCATTTATTTCTCAGAACGTTCATAAGCCTATGCAGTCGGGAAAATATAAATTCCCAGTTCAGAGTTGATGGATGTCCCGACAACAAGGAAGTCAGAGATGATTTCACGTTACTCTAGAAAAGATTTATTGTTACAGTTATTTCGGCAGAGAAGGAGCTAGTTGCCGTTACCAGTTCTTTTTTTTTTTTTAAGCGACTTGTTACAAAGTTCCTTTTCGGGATGAGGTGACGGAAACTAGACTAAACCAGACTGAAGGAAGAAAAAAAAACATGGATGGAATGGAGACTTTTTGTCCCCGTTTTCCACTGGCAATGATGGCCATTACAAACTTCACAAAAAAAGAAACACCGTCACTCGTTCCCAAAAGATGTAACTCTTTGCAGCAATGCAATTCACCATTTAAAAAAAAAGATATACATATATATATAAATGACTTAATCGACCGACTTTACTCGTGTGAAAATGGGAAAAAAAAATAATTCTTTTTCCTGGCCCTGCGCGATTGCGACGGAATGTCGATGGCATCGGTCTCGCTACATCATCGAGAAGAGTGCGTTTCCACCCTTTCATATTTCTCTCGGAATTCTCGCACGATCGTGATGAATACTCAAAGGTAAATTGAATAGAATAAATTACAAGCAGAATAAATTCCAGGTTTCCCTCGCTTTCCGCGATTATTAATTTTAATTTTAATTTTTTGTTTTCATGGATTCGCATTTGCGCAGTTATTTTTTTTTAAATACCAAAAACTCAATAAACTCAAACCGTGCATCTGCGGAATCCGTGTAAAACGAAACCGCGTAAAGCGAGGGAAGCCTGTATCCCAGGTATTGCTTCGTAATTTAATAATAGCGAAACTATTTCCAGCAGAAATATTTTTCCGGTAGGAATGTATCGCGGCACGCGATGGGCACTCCAAAAGTTCTTGCAAAATACCATCAAATAATGCCTGATCCTAATAAAAAATTTTTGGCATTGTTCTTCAGGGATTCAGTAAGATTCAGGGATTAAAAAAAAAAAAAACATTTTACTACCGAAACGGCGAAACGTCGCACGAGGCCAAATGAGGTCACCTCCAGGGCAGATGACCTTGACCCGTCGAGATCCGATTCGGCGTGGTTTTCCAAGGCGGTCGACTGCGAAACCGTGTTTTGCAGAGATTATATTATAGCTGTAAATTATAACAATATAATTATAGTCCCACCCATTTTATGTCCTTCGTGGACATTTCAGCCCGGAGGACGAGCCCCGCGAAAGCCGTCCGAATTCGGAAGTGACGAAACGAAGCCGAAGTGGAAGCCGTGATTGAGGAAGACCGAAATGCGACATTTGCTGCTTTAAAAAAAAAATAATAAAAATAAAATAAATATTGCATGAAATTCTTTGGGCGAACAAATGGTTCGAGTCAATTTCTGCCAGGAAATGCTGCACAAATTCGACAGAGGAACTTCGAAACGCTGTTTCACAGGTTTTGGCCTTTGGAAACCATACCAAATCAGCATTCGCAGATATCGATGGATCAAGGTCACGCTACGCGTCGCAAAAATTGGCAAAACATTTGAAAAAAAAATCACTGAATCTTATTGAATCCCTGAAAAACAATGCCAAAAAATTAGGATCAGGTAATATTTAATGCCATTTGGCAAGAACCATTGCCATTTGGAGTGCCCCTCGTATTACCAAACGTTCGCATCTTTTTTTTTTCTCAACCTTTGGAAGCCCTTCAGTGCAAGAGAGTTCAGAATCGCGTGGAATCACCCTCCTAAAATGAGATTTTTTTCTTTATGCTCAACTTATTTTTGCCGTGAACACGTTACCCTCAGGAAGTCGGAAGTCGGAAGTCGGACTGAAAAAAAATGGAGGAACCCAAATAGAATAGAATAGTTCAGGAGACAGTCAAGCTTGACTTTCCGGCTCGATCCCGATAACGCAGGTGAAATGCGCTTACCCGTCTCTGAGCCGAGTCCTCGATGAAGACCCCCGAGAGCCGTGAAGCGTGATGTAAAACCTGCCAACATCCCCTCCGCGCTCGAGCGGCGTCTGGCGATCGTCCACGACCGCGGTCACCGCGTGGGTCACTCCTGTTAACAACGCAGCGGTAAAAAAAAAAAAAATTCTGAACGAGACGGCCGGAGAGAAATCGGGTCGTCGTACGGCAGTAGGGCTGTTGAGCGCCGGTGAAGAGGAACAACTTTTGGGATTTCCCTTCGTATAATTCCGGTTCCCAGGCGTCGTCTGCGTGATATCCCATTCTCGCACACTTCTCTCCCTTCTGGCCACAACTCGTGCACTTCCCCCGTCTGCGCCCATTAAGTCATCCATTATGTCATTAAGTCATCCATTTTATGTCATTAAGTCATCCATTTATGTCATTGTCATCCATTTTATGTCATTAAGCCAAAATCCACAATAAGTATAACTCAAGGTCGACGGTGGATGGCTGAAGGATAGGATTCCTTTAACAAATTTCAATTTTTGCGCCGATCATCGGGGATGTTTGGGACGCGAGACTCACACGAAATCCACCCAATTGGAGCACTGATGAGCGAGGAAAGGGCAAGGAGAATTTATGGACTCGGTGAAGTACTCGTAGGCCTTAGTGTGGCTGCAAACCGTGAACCGCGTCAAGCCTGAGGAAAGCCAAGTTAAAGGTCAGCAAACGAAGAAAATGAAACGAAGAAAATGAAACGAAGAAAATGAAACGAAGAAAATGAAACGAAGAAAATGAAACGAAGAAAATGAAACGAAGAAAATAACTCGTACCATTGACAAAGGACCCCATCGGATCGAAGGCTTGCAGAAGAGAAAGACTACAACCTGGCATGCGAGCGCCAGAATTCGGGTAGAAATCCATGTGACCAAACGGCTGGAGCGTCCCCAATCCTGTCACGAAGGCACACGTCAAACACTCGAACGGAGACTGACCGTCGACTCGACGAGACTGACCTCCTTCTGCGACGGAGACGCCGTCGGTGTGAATGGCATCCACGAAGAGGGCATCCTCGGGATCGAGTCTCACGCGAGGATCAGCGTGTTCGAACTGGGGTCCGGCCGGGTCGAGTCCCGTGATGCGACCCAGCTTCCCCACCCCCATGTCCTTGAGCGCGGATCCGATGTATGACGCCACGTGAGATCCCAGGCTGTGACCCGCCACGTGCACTCTCTCCATCCGCGTCCCCGCCTCTCTCTTCCCAAATACGCATCCATCGTTAATGCGATTCCTAGAAACCCTCGGGCATATTTTGCCGGATCGTGTCTGGCGCCTCGATCTTTATGCAGCCATTTCGTCTGGATAGTAAGGTTCTCAATGGCGGGAAACCGTACAGGATGATCAATATGGCATGCAATATGGCATGCAAATTTGGAAAAAAAAATCTTTTTTTCACAATGGCTGCTGATACAAAAGAAAGGGTGGGGATCGATATCATTTACTTCGGTAACAATTTTGCAACTTCGTACCTTCAAGGCTTGCTAAAATCTGACGAATCGCGGCCGACGATTCGAACGACTGTTTTCGTTCGGGCGCGAAAGTCCGCATTCCTTGCAAGGGCCCTAAGCAGCGTGACTTAATGATCTCAATGTACCTTGTCATGCTTTGTACTTGGAATCTCGGCAGAGAAGAAAAATTGACGCAGTTCATACTTGCTCTGAATACCATCCATCATTTCTTTCTGTGTAAACATTGTTCATATGCGATGTAGAGAGTAGAGTTGACAAAAATGCTTTATTAACATGTGTGACTTCCTTGGAATTTTGAGTGTTACATTCGGAATAGCATGGAAGAAGGACATATGTCGTCCTCTCGGACTTGAGACATCTTTTGCAGGTGGATAAGCTGGATTGCAAACCGGATTCGCGAAGGTCTCACCTTTTTAAATTTTATTTCTTGCGCTCTTCCAGCATTTCCTGTCGGGCTAATGGGGGGTCCGTGTATTCCGACGTGGAATCTTGATTGAGACGAGCGCGGGGAAAGAAGGAAACGACGGAATCATTTTTTTCTCTGCCCGAGGCGGTCGACAGTCGGCTGTCGTCTGCCTTGGTGAGATGTGAACAGTGTCGTTAGCCATTAGCGGAAATGAGTCATTAGTCTCCAAGGAGTGGGTTCCGTCCGAGTTGTAAAGCAGGTTCCCGAAAGTCTTTGAGGATTGATCGAGGATCGATAGGATCGATCGAGGAAAGGTCAGGACTTGGACGGCCGGTTGCATGAAAAATGTTCATTTTAAACATCGATAGTCGTTGTTTAAACATTGTCTTTGAAAAGATCGCTTAACCGCCGTCTATTTTCGATTGCGCGAACGATTCCCAAGCCATGTTTTCAGAGCCGATGGCTAACGTCCCTCGTGGTATAATTATATATTATATATAACTCATAGCGCGTTCTGACTTCTCGGCCGTCGCGCGATACGCTTCGGACTCCGCAAAAAACGATCGAGTGAAAAAGGTGAACCGTTCCTCTGACGATAAAGTAAAGCTTGGGAGCTCGTAAAGGAGCATCCTCGCGATGGAGAGAGACGCGATGCACTCTCCTTGTATGAGAATATCCGCTTATATATATATATATATATTATTATTTATTATTATTATTATTATTATTATTATTACAGAAAGGGAAATTCTTACGGCGAGAAAAGCGAGGAAATGCGCCCCCATGACTCCAACGAGTCGGATGTTGGCGACGGCTTGATCATAAGGCGGTCCGGATCCCCCGAGCCAGCTCAGCACGACCACGTTCTGCTCCTTCGCCTTCAGCAGCTCCTCCGTCAGTCTCTGCATCGCAACGCTCGAGATTAGGAACTCCATGGGCTCCATGGGGGAGGGCAGAGAGAGTGGAGGCAGAGAGGGGAGGTACCAGTAGCCACCGCTTCCGTCCGTGTTCCAGGTATCCGTGAGTGAGCAGCGTGACGGGATGCCTCGGGTCGAACGGGGATTCCCTCAGCCTCTGAGTCTCGTTCGTCCTCAGACGCTGTGGGAGTTCGAAATCGATTAAGAGAAACCGCTTCGGTGACTGCATCGGGGGAAAAGAGAGCCGCCGTACGTGGCATTCGGTTGGATTCTGACGGGTGTAAAGGCAGAAAGCGGGTCGGATCTCCTCCGGGGGTTCCGGGAAAAAAGCCTCCGGTCTCTGCTCGGACGTCCACGGGAAGTCGATAGAGAAGCATCCGTATGGGGGATAGCATTTCTCTTTATTCGCTCTCCCTGCGCACAAAACGATTAAATTTATATTAAAATTTATATCAAAATTTATATTATTAAAATTTATATTAAAATTTATATTATTAAAATTTATATTATTAAAATTTATATTATTAAAATTTATATTATTAAAATTTATATTATTAAAATTTATATTTTAAACTGAAACAAGCATGTAGCATCTGGTCCGTAACGGCCATCCGGTCACTCACCCTCCCGGCCTCGGCCGAGGTCCCGGCTGACCCGGCTGCGCGGCCCGAACGGGTCCGGGTCCAGGACGTCGTCCACGGACGTGATCTCCTCCTTCACGTAGAGCCCGACCAGCTTATGCCACGTGAACTCCGACATGACCAGGAGGAACTGGATCATCAGACCGGCGGCGCTGAGCGACATCTCGGCTGGCAGGATGGATTGAGAGGGATGAGTTTTTTTTTTTAATAATATATATTCCATCAAACTGTATTTAAAAAAAAAACTGCAGTGAAAAATTCATCATATGTTACACATATTTTTTATGTTATCGTTCCAGAGCAAGTCAAATATCGCCTGCGAATGCGTCAATCACTTGCAGACAGATTAGCATAGATTCGGGGTCGGCCTCAGCCACGTGCCGCATGGCTGAGGCCCACTGGCCACATGACTGAGGCCGCAAATCCACCAAGGGCGCCAAAACATGACGGAATGCATGAAGCAATAGTGGATCCCGGGGGGGGGGGGGGGGGGATTACACTTTCAGATTGAATTTGGGGGCAAAAACGCCCTGAGTCATTTGACGCAGACGGCGCCGGGAACCCATTTCGTTCGTGAAAATTAAAATAACTCTTATTTCCTCGGTCCAGGGTGCTTCCAACTTTCTCAGCTTTTCTGTTCGACTCTGAAGGTCACGGACCGCAGGCGAACGCGAGGCTTAATGCTCATGTTAAGCGGCGAGGCTTAATGCTTCCGTCATTTTGCAGCAAGCAAACTTTTCAATTTTCGAACGTTGTCGTCCCGAGTGGGGAGTTTCAAACCGGAAGATATCCGCTGGACGTCCGCTGGACATCCTCCTTGAACTTCCAGTGGATGACCGAGTGTCTCGTCCGGGGATTATCCCTGGATCATCCCAGATCGCAAAGGAAAGCGCAGAGGAAACAGACGAGTCAGGACGCCGAGACAACTCCCGGTCATCAATCACCTCATCAATCACCTCATCAATTACCAATTACGACTGCTCTCTTCGCCGATCGCATCTGCAAAAAAAAAATCTACAGCAAAGACCGACCGCGAGCGAAGCGGGAAAAATTCCTTGGGAGAATTTAAGCGAACCGGTCTCGAGGGACCTTCGATCCGGATTCACTCAAGGATTCAAAGGATTAAAGGCGAATATTCCAGGATCGAATCGCTTCGCGTTTCCGCCTTCGATTAGATCCCTTTGACTCGAACATCATTTGTATCTCTGCTAAGGGCCATACTGGGCCAAATCGGGCCAAACCGGGCCACACCGGGCCAAATCGCCTCGAATAGTCTTGAATTGATAGCCAGGGAAATTTGCAGCAAACGCAATAAGAAAAGTTTGTCAACTTGGATGCCTTCCGTCCATTTAGAGGTCTGAACGGGCCGAATTCCACGATAGCAGCCTCCACTTCTCGTCCTTCCCTTTTCTTCCTCCACTTGTCCTCCACTCCTTCCGAATGGGAGGCATGGCTCGTTCGAATGCGACGGGAATTCGATGAGCCTCGATCGGAAATGCCACGGGCGTTTCGGTCGAGAATCAATTTCAATTTTTAGACCATCCGTTCCTTCGGAAGCTGTTCGTTCGGTTGTAATTTTTTTTCTTCCCCTGTCTCGCCTGCCCCCCGTCAGAGACGGACTGGCAGCGGACCGGCGAGGACCTTTTCCTGTGCTGTGTGGGGGATCGTAGTGGGAAACGCCAGGTTTTCCAGACGGATTCCGCCGATTTCACTTTTCGACTTCATAGGTGAATTGCCCTTTTTCCTCAAAGGTCTCGAAGGTCCTCTCAGCCTTTATTTTTTTATTATCAGATCGTTCTCGTTCCAGCAACAACAAAAAAATTATTTTTAATGATAATAAAATTAAGTTAAATTAGGGCTTTACCGACGACCGCATTCGGCCGCTTTCGACCTCATTCGGCCGCATTCGGCCGCTTTCGACCTCATTCGGCCGCTTTCGACCTCATTCGGCCGCATTCGGCCACATTCGGCCTCATTCGGCCGCATTCGGCCTGTCGCCGAACTTGATCTGCGGATCGAGAAAACATGAAATCCCCAAATTGAAATTGGTCCATCAGGCAGCCTCAGGCGCACGCTGCCACGCGACATCTCAGTCTGCTCCCCGGCGACAAACGGACGCAAGCATCCGATCAGCTGATCACCGGACGTTTTCAAATTTTAAACAAAATAATTTTTTTTACTTTAATGAAAAATTGAGTTAAATTAAAACGTGAAAAAGGGACGAAGTATCCATTGTGGCCTATGCCGCTTTGCTCCTCTGCTGGCAAGAGAGCCAGCTCACCCGTGAGCCACCCGTGAGCCACCCGTGAACCACCCGTGAGCAAGCGACGATTCCCCCAAATGAAAAGTAATGATCGTCCGGATGCAAATAAGTACTAAGTACTAACAAGTTCTATGCAGAAGAAATTTTTTGAATAAGATTTCGAGATCGGATTACCGGATTGATGAGGATTAAATGATTAGGATTAGAGTGAGACCCGCCAGAGTTGGATTGAACCGGGGAAAAGGCCAGACCGCATTTCAGGACGATGATAAAAATAGATTTCGTGAATTCGGGTCGTGTCCTTTGATCGGGTCCTTCAACCCGTTGACCACGAGAACGTCAGCTTCCAACAACGCCGCACCAGACGAGACAAATTTCAACATTTGGCAAATTAAATTGCAGATTAAATTTGGCAAATTAAATTGCGAAGCGGATTGCAGATTCCCCATCCTCATTTTGATTTAGAGAAATGTATGCAAATAATCAATAAATTTATCTAAACTTACGTAAATAACATCGATAAATAATAAAGGAGCAGCGAAAGCGATGGAGTCGCCATCTACCGACGACCGCGAAAATCGCGCGTGGGAGGGGGGGCGGAAACTGTCCTTGGAAAGGCCGCCCGAAAACGGTCGGCTGTCGGTTATCGCGTGTTGGCAGGGGTGTCTTTCCACTTTCGTCCCCGAGACGAAAGATGAAAGAAAGATGAGATTAATTCAAAGATGTTTTCTTTATTTTCTTCTTTTATCTCATCTCGATGAACGGGGGCGAGAGTTCACAGGGACGACTTTCCAAACATTCATTTCATGGCTGATAACCAGGTCTGCCTCAACTCTTCAAAATGGGGGGGGGGGGTAAGGTTAACTACCGGTTTCTCATCCTGCTAAGATGGAGATTGAAAGTGGCTTGGAGTGGAAAGAAACTCGAGTCCCTATTCAGAAGTAATTGCTCTCGAGAAGAATATCATGGAACAGTCAATTGATGACGGCATGAAATGCACTAATTAGAAGGTCAAACATGTAAAAAAAAAAGAAAAAAAATTACAACCGAACGAACAGCTTCCGAAGGAACGGATGGTCTAAATCGAAGGACATTACATATAATACCGGGCCGCGACGTTTCCTTAAGGGTCAATTTCGTTTGTCCGAAATAGATAAATCGACCCTGGAGACGGGGAACCCGAGCGTTTCTTCCGCATCCCCGGCACTCCCGTGGCCGTGGTTCCATCTAAATCAACGCCGCGAGTTGAAAAATGTTTTAAGTGGCTCTTTTGGGCAGTTTCCGTTTTGCGCAAGGAGATGGCGAAACCGGGAACTGACCTTGCCTTGAAGGTTCAAGGCAGACGATGAAAATCGGGCACGGAATTCCGGGTGAAAGATGAAAATCGGGCACGGAATTCCGGGTGAAAGATGAAATCACGCCTTGTGATTCTTGTCGATGCGGATGCTAGGGGCGAAAGTGGAAGGAATCTTGGCAGTCATCTCATTATGGCTTTTTCGCTGTCAAGGTCTAACCCCGTGATAGACCCGAGACAGACTCGAGATAGACTTCGTTTTGACGCATGCCTTCTTCACCGAAACAAAAAAAAAGGGCTGAGAAAATAAAGAATGACCGTCGGAGAGGCGTGTGAGAGCGAGGACCTTCGAGGTCCCCCCCCCCTTCCCCCCCCGAGGGGCGGAAGTGCTATTAAATCATGATTAGGGAGGGGGAAAGGGGACAGCTCAATACTGGGAGGGAGGCGGTGTGCCCGAGGAGGCGTCGTGCCAAGGAGGCGTCGTGCGTGAGGCGTCGGGAAGGTCTCGTGGAAGTCCGTCCTTCCTCCTCTAATTCACATAACCTTCCGAGATCCGATTTCTCCATGCGGTTATTTGCGGAATTGAGCGAGGTTAAGGCGAGGTTAAGGAGAGGTTAGGACTCGGACCGATCAACTCGCGTGCCGCTCACTCAAGTGAGGAGCTATGGAACAGAAGTCGGCGTAATTGCTCTAAAAATTGCTCAAATTACCAAAAATGCCACATAATTAACAGGCGAAATCGCCTCCGAGAAGCCGATGACCTCGCCCCTTCTCATCCTTTCTCGCCCCTTCTCACGGCTCCGCACCCTTCTCCCACGTCTCGACTTCGTTGAGGCCTTCTCACCTCGATTCCGCGCGCCCTCAAGCCGTCCTCAAGCCATCCTCAAGCCGTCCTCAAGCCATCCTCAAGCCGTCCTCAAGCCATCCTCAAGCCGTCCTCAAGCCATCCTCAAGCCGTCTCATCGCTTTGATTGGCAAACCTCAAATCTTCTTCCATTGTTTTCACTGGACTCGAGGTTTTCCCTGCTGTTTCCCCAAGCGATATATTATCCACATCCAATCAAAATAATAACATATTTAATAAATAATATTTGACAAATAATACATATTTGATAAACAGCACGTATTTAATAAATAGCAACTTTCATAAAGAGCAAATTTTATCATATCAAATATTTCATAATTCACTTCCTGTATTTCCGCCTTTTACGACCTTTCCCGCGACTCATTTTACAGCCGCCGGCAGGCTGAAGATTTCATAACTTCCGGCCCTCGAATCGAGGAAGCCAGATCGGAATATGCATACGTCACGTGACCCTTTTTAGGGAGACGGATCCATCATCATCGACGGTGACGCTCGCGTGACGGACGCCTGTCACGACTTCGGCCCTCGATGACTCGTCGTCGGCCCTCGATGACTCGTCGTCGGCCCTCGATGACTCGTCGTCGGCCCTCGATGACTCGTCGTCGGCCCTCGATGACTCGTCGTCGGCCCTCCGGGCGATGGCATTGAGGCTGCCGTCGGCGCATCGAGTTGTTGCCTCGGATTCTTCTGGGAGGGGCTGAAATGCCTGTCAAGGAAAGGGAATCTCGAGGACGAAAGCGAAAGGGCTTTGTCTGATACAATCCGAAGAGAGTGCACTAAATCGACAATGTACTCATTACAATCTTGTCAATGTCAATCCGATGTAAAACTTTTTTTTTGCGGGGAGGAGAGAAAAAACGACTCAGAGGAGCGACCGAGAACGTAGAGGGAGAACGGAGAGGAGGGAGTGGAGAGGGAGAACGGAGAGGAGGGAGTGGAGAGGGAGAACGGAGAGGAGGGAGTGGAGAGGGAGAACGGAGAGAAGAGAGTGGATGTGACAGGATACTTCCCATCTTTCCCTGACCGTGGTTATTTTCGCAGCGGATCTCCATTCGCCAATGAAACATGGTATCTGGACGACTCTCGGTGTAAGTCGACGATATCGAGTAGCATCTCTCGGTGGGTCGCTCGCTCCTTTTATTCTCCCTCGACGGGAAGGAGACAATTCGAGTTTCGTCATGTCCGTGAGTCCGTCTCGGTTTTTCATTGTCTGAACTGAAAAAAAATACCGATCTGATGGCAGTGAAAATCATCGTGAGAACGGATTGGGAGGCAGGACACAGGATCAGTTCCTTTTTTTTAAACGAAATTCTCTGCAAAAGCATAATTGAAAATTTTAAATTGCTCATTGGCGCAAAAGCACGTGCCGAGCCATACTGGATCTCCGCCTCGAGGCGCATGCGCGGTGCTCAGCCTCGGTTGGGGTGCGATGACGTCACAGATCTCACTTTCGGCCTCCACCTGCCTCCTTCCCCTGGAATTTCTTCCGTTCTTTCTGTTGATCTTGTCCTTCGTTCTTTATTCGTTATTTTTTATTATTTCCGTTTTTCTTTCTCCTTTCATTTTCTTTTTCTCTATCATAGAAACTCATATTTAACTATTATTTTTACATTTGTCATGCGTCATTATCTTGCTATTACTCCATTATTACTAAGCCATTATTTGCCTTTTTTGCGGTCCATTTTTAGCGAAATGCGAGGAGAAAGTCGTGTCTTTTTTTTTTCATTCGATTTTGGCACAATGATTTACCAAGTCATGTGAAAATTATTATCAAGCAAGACAAGTAGGAAAACCGTGGGGAAACACCTCAAGAAGAATGGAAAGAAGCCTTAGCAGCTTAAGAACAGCTCCCTAAGCAAACAACATTTGCAAATAAATACCATCTCAATAATATGTGGGAAAGGTTTTTTATTTATTTATTTATTAAGGCATCCCTGAGAAGCGATTCTTACTCGGACCTCATTTTCTAATCACGTGATGATGCCTGAAATTATTTTAAATGTTACCTTTTAACATTTTGATAACTGCTAAATAAGTATTTAATAAATAAGCACTTTAATAAATAAAAAATTAATTGCCATCACGATCTGAAATCGAAACCCTAAAACCATGCTTGAAAATGTCTCCCCCCCCCCTAAATTTTTATTGCTAAAAAAAAAACATACAGATAGATGTCAGAAAAACTTCAAAGCTTTAAGAATATTTCATAATAAGCTTTATTTTTCAGGAACTGGTTTATATTGCATGTTACATATAATATAATGTTTTATATTACGTTTTTAAAGCTGAGGATAAGAGCATGCATAACATTTCAGCTCTTTGATTTACGAAGGTGATTTATTATTTTAAAAAACTTATGACAATAAAATTAAACCATTTTAATTTTTTGCCTCTCGAAGAAGTAACCATAAATTCAAAAAACATATTAAATACATATTGCGTGCAGTAGTAAGTATTTAATATTGTCAAACCCTCCGACGAATCAGCGGGGAAGGCGAGAGCGAGAGGTGGAGGTTCCCCTCCCCCCCTTCTCCCTCTTTATCGCAATGTGGGAAAGGTTTTTTATTTATTTATTTATTAAGGCATCCCTGAGAAGCGATTCTTACTCGGACCTCATTTTCTAATCACGTGATGATGCCTGAAATTATTTTAAATGTTACCTTTTAACATTTTNCAATGGTACTGTTCTGGTTCGTTAAATGCGCATGAATGCTAGGGGGAAATCAACATCAATTTTGCGTAAAATGAATGGAAACATGCTGTTTGGGATGCAAACAGGAATGTCAATTTTACGTAAAATTTACGTTAATTTTATATCACCGTTTACGTATCACAGAGGTGACATTTCTGCAAACATGTTGACATTTTCTTGACAACGGTTGGCGTAAAAATGATATAAAATGGACAAAAAAATTTACATTCGTTTTACGTAAAATTAACAAACATGCTGTTTGGGGTGGTACTACGAATTCGATCCGAAAATAATTTGCGGGTGCACCAACTGATTCAAGCCGATAAGCTAAAAATACTGGTTTTCTTTAACGTCAGACAAACCTATCGTGGAAATGCAGTGACTTTTGAGCCTTGAGCCCGAATGCACAAACCTCATTAAGGAGAGACAACTTTTAGCTTTTAACGAAGGAGCTCTTTTTCTCCCATTGGAATCCGTGTGTTCTAAAAGGACTGTTAACGGTCGGACCTTACCCTACTGACGATACGTGTTGCACCACCAACGCACCAAACGGAATGCAAACACCGCATGGAACTGGACTCGAAAAAAAAATGAAGTAAGCGGTTACATGCGAATCCCTTCGACACGCACGAGCACGCACGGGTCGGAGGGAAGGTGAAGGGGCGAAGAGGCCATGGCGGTTGCGTGTCAATCGACTGTCAATGCATTGCCCCAAGGGTTCAATGGGGAGGGGGGGGGGGGGGGGGGGGGGGGGGGGAGAGAAGCAAGAGATACCTCGCATAATTCGTCTTGTTTACATAAACATGCTGCTTGGGACAGTACCACATTTACGGTGGTACTGTGGGGGAGGGGTAGGGTAGAGAAGCAAGAGATACCTCGCATAATTCGTATTTCCAGTTGATGTCTTTTTCTTTTGAGAAACGTAAATTGAAATGCGAAAATTGAGAGAAGTTGAAGGTCGGGTCGCGGCATTCGCCGGGTCGAATCCATTTTCTTCGAATCTCTTCCGGCTCTTTTGCAGGCGACGGAATCTCTCGGGCACGACTGAGACTGACGCCGGAAACGGAAATGCCCTCGTGGGGGATCGATGAGGGTCATGACCTTGCTGACCTTGCTGACCTTGCTGACTTTCCTTGCTGCAAACGGAATTGGCGGAGACCGAATCGGTCGGATCGGTTTCAATCGAAATGCTTCTATTCCTTTTCGTTCAAATGGTTTCGACTGTTTATCTAATAGCGTCACTGATCCATCGATTGAGAGGATGCTTTCTTGTTCTCCTTTTCTCTTGGTTAATTTACCGGGGTAAATTAACCAACCAAATTAAATTAAATGGGGGTGCACACTGTTGTGGGATTAAATGGGATTCTTAGAAGGAGAAAGCCGAGGGAACGTGCAGCCGTGACTCCAGCCGGAAAATGTGATCCGGATAATGTGGTCCGGATAATGTGAGCCGGATAATGAGAGTCGGTCCGGATCCCCCCGAATCTGCTCAACACGGCGACGTCCCGGGTTTCTCGGGCTTTGGCTGCTCCTCCGGCGATCTCGGCGTTTGCGTTTGGGACGTCAGCGTTAGTCTTTCCTGCAAGGAAAGAGATGAAAGTGGACGGAATCAGACTCAACGCGATTTCGCTCGGGAGAACCTTCAAGGTTTATCTTTCGAGGTTCAAGGTTTATCTTCATCGGGTTTGTCTATGGGACGGCGAACGGAAGAGAGACTCGTTCATGCTTTTTTTTTTACCCATCGCTTTAATTTTTTGGTTTTTTTAAATAATTAATTAATTAACTTAATTTACTATCGTTGCTTTTTTAATTTATTATTTATGATTTCATGATTCTTCAGTGACAGCGAGGATTTCGTCCTGTTTCCTGTTGCATTTTCTTTAATGCAGTCGATGCAGCAAAACACTTCTTGCAGTGAAGGAATCGAAGATCCTTTTGCATCTCCCAATGAAAAACCAATAATCGATTGCCATTGCAAGCGCAAATACATAATTATCAATATGTTCAACGCAGTCGAGTCTCCAGATTTTACCTTTTCCAAGGAAAAATCTTTAAAAATTCTCGATGTTGCTAAATTTCCGTATTTCGCTAAATTTGACTAAAAGGTTAATTTGCCAAATAGATTTAGGATTTTGGGGAAAACTGTCTTTGACGTCGAACAGCTGAGCCCTCGGCAGCGGGTCGACTTAGAAAGGTAGTGGAAAAATATGTAAAAATTAAAGAACCACTGGTGACCGTGGGGAATTTTTTTCTTTGAGATTTTCATTGTCGGTCTCAGCGACCCCGGGGAATCTACGAACCCCTTGCATCGCCTTTATTTCCCCTTCAAGGTGGACTCGAGCAACTCTACAATCATGACTGACAGGAATTTCGCTTGTCTGCCTTGACAGGGCAATGCAAACGGATGACGGGATCTCACACGGACGATTTAATTAAAAATCCAGTTTCTCGTTTCCACCGAGGACAACGTCTGACAGTTTAATTTCGAACTTATGCTATCTTTCTCTGCAGGGAGCAACATTGCCATACGTTTTTATTTTGACACTCCAGGGGAAAAAATTATATTTCACCTTTCCAAACCTCACACCTGTATTCCAAACCTGTATTCTTTATTTGCCGCTTCTCGTACTGTAGTTTCACTTCCATCGAAAAGATCACTCTATTATCACTAGGAATTTCCGCACTTTCAGTGCAAATGTCTTGTCATTTAAATACCTGGTAAGACTTATCTGTTGGATAATGGAGGGGACCAGGAATAAATTTTTGAGGAACTCCAGTTAAATGCCCAGGTGATTAAAGGAGATGGGTCTTCAAGCCGACACGTCCCCATCCCGAGTTGGACGTCTTTGTCTACGTGTATCGGTATGACAGCGCCCTCTGGCAGCAAGCCTGTCTTACCCCCCCCCCCTTATTACTATCTTCCTTGCTTTCTGCTAGACACCAGACGGGTTCTATGATAATAACGTCTAAGATTGATGCGCACAAGAGCAAGGTTTCTCGAGTCAATTCGGTCTCGGCCTTGAGGCTCTCGAGATTGAGAGCAGTTTTTGTACTGAATCCAATCCTGCTGTGGAGTCGAGGTGAAGGTCGTCCAGTCTTGATAAGTTGTCAGCTCTCATCCAGCGGAGATTGCAACGAAGACTAATTCTCCTGAAGGACGGTTTCGGAGCGGGACATTTCAGACGAGCTTGCAAGCTGGTGGATGATGAACTCCGCATCCCACGCTTTCGAATCTTTGGAGCGAGACCGGAGACATCCAGAGGAGGCACACGCTGGGGTTGCGCTTCCACCGAGCAAAGCCAGGATTCCTTTCTCGGTGACTGGAATGGATGGTCTAATTTCCGGCTGTGGTAACGTCTCTCTGCATAAGCGACAGGCGTTCTGATCTGCATTGAGGATATATGGTCGGGCCGTGCGGTGAAAATAGGTTGTACGTTATGGATGCAAAAATTGTGCCAGCGGGTTCCTTATTCTTCTTCCTGATTGCGATCTCGTGCCTGTTGATGCATGAGAGACGCGATAATATATTCAAATTCTCAGTCAGAAGGCTAGTGGCAGTGGCAGGCAATATTACCATTAAATGAACTCCTTACCGAGTCTGAGAGGAAGAGCAGGAAATCCATCGAAAGTTCCAGACTTTATCTCCACTTTCGGCAAGAAACGAATGAGATTTCATCGAGTATTAAAAGAAAAACACAAAAATTAAACCTCGACGAACTCGCAAGAAGCCGAAGAGAAAAGGAGATGAAGAAAAAAAAAAAGAAGAGGATTCCTGAAGAAAAAAATGTGGAGGAATGTCGGGGTCTCGGACACGATGACCCTGAAAGAAGCCGGAAATTTCGGGCAAGTAGGGAGGAAATCGAGGAAGCAATTAGTGAAGGAAAACCGGATATTTAATAGTTGATCTCGCTCCAAATCAATTCAAGGATAAAGGACTATGATAACGAACTCGAGTGGTGAAATCGTACTTCCGTCATCAATAAATCTGCCTGAAACAAGTGCATCCCTGATACACGATGAATGCAGAATGAATGCAGAAAGTGCAGAATAAATGCATAAAGTGCATAATGAATGCATGATGAATGCATGATGAGTGCATGAAACATTGCTGAAGCAGCCTTGTCGTGACGATGGCATCACGAGAGGCATCAGAATATTTAGACCAGTCCGAGTGTCACGCCGAGCCTTCTTGGGTCGATGTCTCGCTTTTTTTCCCCGAGATTTGCAAGGAGGATACGCAGACGCAACGGCGGTTCCCAAACTGTGGGTCGCGAGAGGCCTCAAGGTGGGTCGCGTACATTTTCGCGGTATAAAAAATCACTGCATCCTCCCAGGTTAAAACATGCCCTGCGGGAAAAGTCGATCAGTTTTCTTCGCTTGATAATTACTTTGAAAATACCTCGTTCTTGATTCCGGTGGGTCGCGAAATTTCTTGGACGTCAACAAGTGGGTCGCGATTCAAAGAAGTCTGGGAACCGCTGCTCTAGGACATGCCATATATACAATATTAACAATATTAACAATATTAACAATATTAACAATATTAACAATATTAACAATATTAACAATATTAACAATATTAACAATATTAACAATATTAACAATATTAACAATATTAACAATATTAACAATATTAACCACATGGCATATTCAGCATTCAGAGTCGTGAGCATATACCAAAAACTCAAATCAGACAAGTTTTTGGAAATTATAGAAACGAAAGCGACGATGGAAAATTCCGAGGTCACATGATCATATTAAATCACTTGATCACGGGTTTCCGTCACTTTACCGCAACTCGCTTCACTCGGGTCCGCTCACAACACGTCCTATAAAAAAAATTCACTGGAAGTGAAGTTTGATCAAGTGAGGCACATTCACGTCGGGGAAGGACTTCCGTGTCGCCTCCCGTCGGGAATGACAACACGAGGGCGCATGCGGACACGGACTGGCGGTACTGCATGGCATGGAGACCCGTCTTAAGACCTGCTTTTTTATTGCGGTCGTATTAGCCGGAATGCGGTAAAATCTGCCTCGTGCCGAGGTCATAGGTGCAAATCACCGTCTTCATTCCGTGTATGAAGACGGTGATCAGTGACTTTGACCGTTCACTGCTCACGGTCACGGCCAATTCTATGGGGGGGGGGGGCAAGAGGGTTTTGGCAAAAGTATTCGTTTTTAAATTTGTATTGCTGTTTGACGATTAAACAACCAGAACCACAAAGTAAGACCATCGTTCGAGTACCGACGTGACGTCAGCGGAAAACTAAAAGTTACTACGATGAAAGTCCGATATAACGCGGCTCATTATACCGCGAATTCGGATATACTGCGGGTCAAGTCATGTCCCCCGAAAAATCTTTAAATTCACGTTAAGTTCATATTGCTTGGTTTTACATCGTTGAGCAGTTTCAGAGTTATTGGGATATAAGTGTTTAAAAAAGATTTGATTTAGAAAAATGTCATCCAATGTGCTTCTCTTGCACTGTATAGAAACTAAACGTGGACCGAATGAGCTCCATTAAGCATTCATCACCTGGCGTGGGATGGTTTTTCATTTCTCCTGCACTTTGATGAATTTTTCATTTTGATGAATTCGCTTGGTGAAATTCTGCACATCAATATTGATGCAACGCTGCAACAGCACTGAAGTCTCAAAATCCACAACGTTGAGTCAACGTTGAAGAGCTTTCATCGCCGCATTGAACCAACATTGCCTCAACGTCGAAACGAGACAGGCCTCACCATGCATTGCGCATGCGCCGCTCGAATGGCACGCGCATGCGCCAATCGAATGGCACGCGCATGCGCCACTCGATTACTTGATTCATCAGCTCGGTCTCAACCCGTTCTCACCATCTCGACAGACAAGGACATCCCGGTCTTGCGAAAGGATGGAGACAGCAGAGAGATTGCAGGCTGTCAATCACTTCAGGGATCCTTCCACGCGACCTTCAGATTTGTCTTTAATTTTTATTTATTTATTTTTTTTTTTACAGTAAATGTTAAAGGGTCTCACGGAGTCATATCAACACGTGAATTTTGTTCTCTCCGGCCAGAATCACCCTGGATCTCACCGGGTTGGGTTTCCTCTACAGTCGAATGTATCCAGGGATTCAAATGCCGTCGACTCTCGATACACCGCCAACTCTTTCGTGAGAAGGAATCTTCCCCATAGGATTAACATTGGCGCACCCTCGCTAGCCGTCTTTACTTGCACAAACACGTCTTATTGCCTAATCCGGCCTAATCCTGTCTCTTCTCCAGGAAAATGGAAGGATTAAGTTTATACGCAGCTTCTCCAAACGACGATTCGAGTTTGTTCGAGTTTGAACTTTTTTAAGCCCGAAGGGAAAATTGGAAATGTGCCGTTAGAAGGAGGCGCAATTGGTCGAAAGAGAGCAAAACTTTGCGAAATGTATTTCAGTATTTTTGGGGCAATAATGGAGCAGACGGTGTATTGGAGTTATTCTAATTATTAAATCATTGAATTTAAACATGGATGGAATAAATAGAATCGTTTTTCAAAGCCGTGTAGTTGGTGCATTCGGAGGCACGGACCATTGGCAGCGTGGATGTGAATTTTGATGTAAATGTGAAATTTTATATTATATTTCATACATAACATAGAAATTCTCCGTTTTAAAGCCATGCGTCTCAATATAGCGCCAAAATCGGCCCGAGACGAACAGTGGCGCTGTATCGAGAGTTGACTGTACCTTCCTCGGCGCCCTCTGTGGAGAAAATATCAAGTACCGTTCGAAAAGTACTGGGGACGCGCGGCAGTTGCGTATATGAGGTAACGCCCTGTGTAGGTGATTTGTCGCCATCTCACATCGGGATAAGGAGACGTCTTTGTTCGAATGTTTCGCCAGATGTCTCGCCCGACAAAAACTGATGTAATCACAAGTAGCACGTAGGTTGTGGCATAACTTTGTTGCATAACTTTCGTCTCGTTGAACCTGGCTTATCTCATCCCTAAATCTGTCATTCCTGATTTATCGAGAAAGACACAAATGAATAACGTGGACGTTGCCTCCAATTTTATCTCCCCGCATTCAGATTTTGAAGGTAATTCTTGAGAGGTATTTGAAAATTAGCGCGAATATATTTTAATTTGTAGTTATTTTGAACTTCGGAACCAAGTATCTTGAGAATGAGGATTTAAGTTTTTCTAAGTAGATCTTTCGAGACGGCCGTGAAAAATGGCTCTGCCGAATCATAGCGAATTTGTTGTTTTATCCTCAGACCAATAACGATTGAATCGCCTTTCTAGGTGAACCGGTTTCCGAGCAGTGTAATTTATTTCTGTTATCGTGCCTAAAATTGTTCAGGAAACGACAAGGTCAACGGATCTCTAGTGCATTTTCACATCAGCCCATTCTTCCCCTTCCCCCCTCTCACATGCCAAGACGTGCATGGCACTAGCATTCACGTTCAACCTCATACGGTATAACCTAGACTGAGAGAAATCTGAGAAATGAATTTTCTTCCTTCCTCCCTTTCTACCTTGCCCTTCTCATATCTCGCAAGCCCCTCCTCCTCCCCTTTTGGTCCCCGACCCCATTCCCAGGAGCAACTTACCAAATGCACTCTTTAGTTCTGGTCCCCCTTTCATCTGCATCTTCGAGTTTCATATATGGGAAATATGTTCTGAAATTTCGAAGGAAATGTTCAATGAAGTTTTCTTAGCTTCTCCATACTCCATTGGAATCGTTAGAGATTTGAGAGATTTGCCCTCGTGACAAGGAGAGTGCGACTATCTTTGCC